GAGCGGCGACATATAAGGCCTTGCAACGTCTTTTTTTCATGCCCAGTCCTGAAAATGATTTTTTGACGCAAAGTTCTGTTCACCTGACAGTAAATAGTTTCGGCACAAAAAAAAAAAGTGTCAAGGATACCCGCTTCATGTTGGAGCCCATTTGGGCAAATTCTCAAGTATAAGCCGTGGAATTTGCAAGTGGACTTAATGTTTTGGCAAGTGAGTGTATATTAGCCTTACATGGATTTTCAAGCCCCCTTCAGCCGTTGGTTTCTTTAAGTGAACCTCATTTCCTGGCATTCATGTGCTTCCTTCCTGCAGGCAAACAAGAAAGGCTCTTCTGAGTCATGCCAGTATCACTCTGTCATACGTGTGAAAGCCTCGACCTTCCAATGCGGAGCTCCCCATTGTTTTGGCACGGGCTGACAGGGCGGAAATGCCAGAGGCGTCGAGTTTGATCAGTTTTGCTGATTTGGAAATATGTACATTCAGTTCCATGGATGGGTATTTTTACACGATACAGAGCAATGGTTACATTTGTTTGTATGCAGTAACATTACTCATAAGGTTTCGGGGATACCCACGTCATTTTTTTGTGTTTTGTTTTGATCATATTAGAATTTTTTTGCGATATTATTTATCATGTTATTTATATTAATATGAGTCTAATTGTGATTCCGCATTTCACGTCTGACTTTGACATGAAGTGTGTTAATTTTTTTTTTTTTTGGAGGGGCTGTGTTTTTCACGGTTTCATTTGTGACAGTCATGCGGCCCCACCCTGGTAACTCGAGCCCCCTGTCGTTTGGTGCCCCCTGCCCCCATCAGCGTTATGAAGAGTGTAGAGCCTTGAGAGCAAAACCATTCCCTCTGGGACAATCTGGAATAGATCGTGCGGTGGGAGCTGATTCAGCATTCTGCACCGTCCCCTTCCACGCCCCCCCACCCACTCCTTTCTCTTCCTGCAGACACTCCCAAACTCTCTTATCGCTGTATCTTGGCAGTGAGTATTCAAGCTTTTCACAGAAATTCTTAGGAAGCATTGTAGAGAACAATGAGGCCTGTTTTCTGGTGGGACAGCAACTTCAGGAAACAGAAATGGGTCAAAGCATTTTCGCACATTAACCTGCACGTACACCTAAATGCAATTAATCCAGATATGAAGTTGTATGTACATGTGCATTTTGGGGGAAAATCAATTTACTCTTAATGGTAATGTAAGAGGAATTTGAAATTTTATTTGAAGTCTTTTAGGGTCATAGTTTATTGTATGTTTATGGTTGAAACTATGAATATAGGCAATTACAAACACGATGGCGTCAATAAATGAATGGGTCTCGGCCAACATCAAATTGATTCCCGCATTGATGAGGTGTCTGATCAAGGAGTCCTTGGAGGCCTGAATAGACACTGTCAATTGTTGTCTTTTATCAGGCCTCTTTTCTGGCAACAGGAGGCGGACCGATAAAATCTATTTTAAACACCCTCTCACATCCGGCCCCCCACAACTTTCTCCTTGCTACGTCCGCGCTATTGATAGCCAGATCAAGCCCCTATGGGTTGCTGCCCTCTTTTCTATACCTGCTATCTATGTAGCATCCATGTTTAGAGGTTGACTGAGGGGTTTGTTTACATGACAACGACCTTGTGAAAACAGGGATGATGTTCCGTAGTTTTTTTTAGGTTCCCGGTATATTTGTCAAACCTATCACCGTTCGTGCTTGGCCCCTATGTGAAAATGTCACGTTATAAATAAACTTTAAAGGCCCCAAATTACTGGGCAGTGAATCAAATTTGAATCGCAATGTAAAAGAATGCATTTTTTTGTAATAGAATGCAGTTTTAAAATTGCAACAGGTGCAATTTGAAAACAACAACAAATTCAGTTTGTTTTAATGACAGAGTCACATTAGAAAAACTTCCATTTGGACACACACGTTTTGTCGTGTTTGCCGATTGTAAACTGAGAGCAAAAGACCAAAATGTCGATTTCAGTTGGGAGCGGCTTTATGTAAACAGTGTCTCAACTGAAAGCATTGTTAAAAACCCTCATGCACACCCACATGTTACCAAATTAACTAGTGCGTGTGTGTGCGCGCGCGCAAATGTGCGGATTACTCTCCTCAAACATGCACTGACATGTATCTTAGGAATGTCTGTTATGCATTGTGTCGGGAATTTTTTTTTTTCCACACACCAATTTATCTGCCCAAAATCCCGAAGGTCATTGCCCCCCCCCCCTCCCCCGGCGAGTTTATCCGCAGCATCAGTGTGGGAACAAAAAGAAGAGGAGGAGAAAAAAAAGCACTGTGGAATGTCTTCTTAAAGAGACAAGCCAAATAAACAAGACTTTTTTTTTTTCCCCCACACCAATTTATCTGCCCAAAACCCCGAAGGTCATTGCCCCCCCCCCCTCCCCCGGCGAGTTTATCCGCAGCATCAGTGTGGGAACAAAAAGAAGAGGAGGAGAAAAAAAAGCACTGTGGAATGTCTTCTTAAAGAGACAAGCCAAATAAACAAGACTCCTCATCCACAGGTACCAGAGCAAATAATGAGTGTTTTGAATGCACGGGGCCTTGTTTTCCACTAGGAGACATCCGTGTTTGTGTGCGTGCGTGTGCGTGTGGGTCTTTCCCCATCAGTGAGTACACACAGAAAGGGGCGCCAATCAGTAGCAATTATGCTCAAAGGCGAAGAGAGTCAAGAACAGCATTCCTCCTCAGCACGACAAGTGCTCAAGTCAGCCTTGATTAATAGCGACGTCTGTCTCCAGCATGATGGCAAAATTTGCCTCCTCTCAAGTGCAAAACCATTTGGAATTCTGGCACACAAACGCCCTCTGTATCCCCACTGGCAAAGCGTGTTTTTTTTTTTTTTTGGGGGTTTGTTTTTTTGTGTATCAAGGTCCAATGCCAGTTATTTAGATCATAATTATGTGGATATTAGTTTTTAGTTCATTGAATGGTTATTTAAAATACACATTGAATGCAATTTTTTAAAACTTGTTTCTCACACAAACCTAATTATATTATTAAAAATTACATTAAATTAAAGCAAAACAGATAATGTTATTGCATCATGTTTATGACTCAAAATTTTTGTATTATTTAAAATATGTGGTTGCAAGCTTTGCATTGAACACATTTGTCCTATTGTGTAGCCCACACCTAAGAGGTTGCTGCCCCACCTGTTGTCCATATACAGAAATGTGACTCATGGCACAGTCAAGAATCCTCCCTTCTTGTAATTACTCAGTCCAAATTGATGGTTGTCCCCGCCAGCATGATATCAAACTGTGGAAAGAGTGTATGTTGTTAGGTTATTATTTGGTTAAGGACGTAACTAGGGCCCAAAATTATGCGTATATAACACGATTATTGACGTGCCTCAGAGTGTGTGGCAGGACAGCACATGCTTGATGATGCTTGTTTGTAGATGTAGTGTAAGCGTGCATTTGTGTGGGTGTGGGTGTGTGTAGTCAGGGGGTGCCAGTTTATTCTGGCCAGACCCGGCGGCGGCCCATGTCCCACATATACTGTATGTCGTGTCCCTGAGGCCGAAAACGGCAAGCTGACTCACCGCACTGAGCTTCCATGTGCATTTGATGTGACGCGCCAGTCCAAGATGTGTGCACTAAAACACAAGCTTCATCAATAAGTCGATGAATCACAGGACAGTATTTTGTGCAGAAGCGTGGAACTGCCAATGTGGAGTAAAATTATTTGACTGGCAAATACATTCAAACCTACGTGTAGGCTAATGCTACAAACGTAATATTTTTTCCCATAATGCCATGGGGTATTTACTTGAGCAAGCGCAAATAAGAAAAAAAATTATATGAAAAAATTTGTTTGACAATAAATACGTCACTCAATTAATTTTCAAACAACCACACACTTACAAATAGATGTAATGGTAGCATGAGGGCTCTCATTTGACTTATTTACACAGAAAGCTCTTTTGCTTTTGTTGGGGGGGCGGGGGCATTTTGTGGGTTCTGGTCCTGTCCTGGAAAGAAGCTGACAAAATCAATCAATTTGAGACAGCATGTTTTAGCCAGAGGCCTTGTTCAGCTGCTTTAGCACTCAGCTTTAGATAACAGTTTGAAAAACAGTTAACGTGAATCGATTGATGGTTGTTTGCTGCTATCTAGTGGCCATTTGGTAACGTTATAACTTTCTTCGTTTCATTTCCAGCAAATCCATTTCAAAAGCTATCTTAGGCGTATAATATTTATAATTACAAATGCGCCGTATATGTTATATAGTTCAGTGTACTATTCGTGATTTTTGGCACATTTTGGTGTAAATATACTACAATCTAGCAATTTGTCCAATGACCAGTTTGTGATCCAACCACCAAGAATTGCTCTCTGCTGCTCAGATGATATTTGAATGTGTCAATTACTTTAATTTCCTGATTTAGAAACTGACCCAAAAGTTTTAAATTAAATGGCGCTCGAGGTACCAGTATCACGTGTACACACGAAAAACGACACTAATTCATTGGTCGAATCGAGTTGTGCAGGGCTTACAAAGGGATGATTTCGTTCTTTCTTTCTTTCTTTCTTTGGAAAGGTAATTTGATTGGGACATGTTTTCTTTCTTTGTATAGGCAATTTGATTGGGACATGTTTTCTTTCTTTGTATAGGCTAATTTGATTGGGACGTGTTACGAAACACGGCCCGGTTGTCATAGAGATCTTTGATTTTATTGTTAACTGGAATAAGCTTTATCTCATCTGCGACCCTAATGAGGGGGAACCCCCCAAAATGGATAAATAGACATTTATTATTTACAAAAAATATTTACTAAATTAAAAAAAGACTACATTATTGAATCACAAAAAATTGCTTGGAAGTTGTCAAAGTCATTGTATCAATAGTAATGTCCGGGGCTGATCCACGTAAACACAGCGGTGAACTCTACTGCGTGGCGGGGGTCGGTCCTGTGCCACTTCCCGGCACATGATTGGCTCAACCGTTTTGCTTTGAGCCAATCACAACGCGGCTGTAGCTCCTCCTGCAGCATCGCTACTATGGCGGAACACGGAGCAGGAATTCCGTCTATGTGACCATGACGGCGTTGTCAAACGGCTGCCGCCAGAGGATGAACGCTGGGGCTTTAGAGCCGACCTGTTGCCTGGTGACCAACGGCGACCTCGATGCTTAAAACTTACTGCTGCCTTGAGAGTAACTTTGCCTTATTTTTTTGTATTCCCGCCATGGCGGAAGTACATCTGTGTTCGAGCTAAGGCGCTCGATCAGATGCTTCGAGTTGGACTGGTGCCTTGGCTTTTTTTCTTTAAAAAATATACATACAGTATAAGTTGTCGAACTTTATTGGCAAGTGATGGATACTTTGGACGTGCTGTCACACGGACTGGCCAACTTGTCAATGTTTCCCTTCTTTGACATGGCGCACTACGTCGTGTCCGTCATGGCTCTGAGGGAGCAGCCAGGTAAGCTCAGGTGTGCTTGCTATTCAACCCTTAACAGGGTCCCAAACGTTCACCAACAAACGAACATTCAATCAGTTGATTTGCCTAATTCGCTTGTTGAAATACCTGAAGCGTGTTCTTCAAATGTTGTCAAAAGGAAAGTACTTTCGTGGGAATGTTACACATTTCCTCCTCCAGGCTCATGAGAAAGTAGCTGTAAAAATGATAATGAAGTGCAATGAGTGATGCATGAGAAGATTGAACAATGTTTGTTTAAGGACAACTTTAAAGCACTCTTCAAGACTTTTAAAGACCACACAGCTCTGCTAAACGACTTGTTTCACAGCATTTACACCCCCTGAAAATAAATATTTTGCTAAATCGCAGTGAAATAGAAATGAAATCACAGATTTGTGACACACCCCACATTACTGGATAAGCGCTTGAGATGTTCTTTTAAAGACGTCGCATAACTGGGCCTTTGCTGGCTTTAAACGGAAGTGGAAGAAAATACTTAATTTGGGCCTGATTTTTGCCCTTTTTGGGGGGTGAGGGCGGAATGCAGCATTAAAAGTGGCACGTTTGGTGTTGTTGACAATAAAAAAAAATATTATTAAATGTCTTAACGCAGCACAAACTTAGAACTGCTGTAAATGTTTTGGTGGATAAAAACAAACGAAAAAAAGCATCCTTTCCACGTATCGTTTATCGTAACAGCAAAAAAGTTTTCATTTACCTGAAAAATGTGTCTAATTCCATCGAGTAAAATCAAATGTTTGTTCGCCATCTCTCCAAAACATTTCTGATCATCCAAGTTGCTGTTGCTCTGTTGGAGACACATACTTGCATGGAGCGACTGAAGGGCAACAAGAAGTGCCCAGACGCATCGGGAGTGCGTAACTGTGTCAAAATGCAAATATGTGACTATCCGTCGACATGATATCAAAGTGATAACGGGGCAAAGAACAGGTGGACTTGAACTGCACTCAAACGGAGTCCATTGTGGTCAAGTTAGCGTGGTCTATTTTGGAACTTGCCTCGCAAAGCATCTGAGCGCCTGTAACCTTTTTCACCCTTTGTTCCTTACACCCCACTACGACCATCTCGGTGCACTCGTGACGACGCGCTAAAGTTGATGTTGCCGTGTCTTACATTCACGCTGCAATAAAACTTGGAAGTCAATATTCAAGAAGACCACTTTTTTTGTTCCCAAAAAGGAAAGGAATGCCATCGGCCATTCCTCGCCTCCTCTTCCTTTCACCGTGTTTAATCCTGACTGGTTTTCAATGCACACTCTCCAAATTCTCCGAGGGGACTCCTGAGGGCCCGATAAACCTTTCCTCAAATAGTTGCCGTCACTCTAATGCAGTTTCCCAACTATTAATAAATCAAGGCACATATTTTATGTTAGAATAATCTCATGGCACACCACTGGACAAAAATGACACAAAAAGGAAAAGACTGTATGCTGAAATAATCACGAGCTCATCTTAAATTACTCAGAAAAGGCATTCTGCTTTTAATGAAATATATTTTAAAGATACCATTAGTAAGTGTGAAGCCCCCCCCTCCCACACACACACACACACACACACACACACACACACACACACACACACACACACACACACACACTGTTTGCTGTTGAGTAAATAAAGGCCCTCGGCGACAATTTAGCTTGCTACCTTGTTTCCTGCCAAAGCGGCGTCACAGGAGTTGACTTTGCAATGACTCTGTGGACATTGGATATATTTGAGAGGAAGCAAAATGCAGATGAAGGAGAAAGAGCAGTTTAAAAGACAACATAGTAAAAAATATCTTCAGGCTGGGGAAAAAAGTGGAGATAAGGCTTCTTTCTATGTTGAGTGCGGGACAGAAGGGTGGGGTAAAGACGTTGCAAAGTCCAGATAGCAGCGGTTCGTCAGAGAGGGAAGCGGGTTACAGAACCTACATGAAGTTTGCGCTGCAACCTCTGTCAAATTATAAAAAAAATATATAATCTCACTTTTTGAAGCACAAACATCTGAAACGAATGATGCCAATTTTGCTCAATTGAGAGAAACTTTTAAAGAAAGTTTAGAAAAAGCACAGTTGATACAGTAATGTTTATAAACACCAACAAGCGATACAATTTTCATCCAGATTTTTGCATTCCTAATTTCAATCTTATATACCACATACATGCACACACACACACACAGACGACAGTGCTTCAAATTAATCTTAACTGTTTGATTTGGATGGGCTGGCCGTTTGGTTCTTCCAAATTTATCACCAGTTCTCTTGCAGTGTTTAATCTCTGGTTAATCCAGATTATCCAAAGGTTCGAGCCAAGTGCACCAGACAGGTGGAACTGGCACTGTATGGTCTCACCAAGTGCAGGAGTTTTTCAACCACCCAAAAAAATAAAATAAAATAAACATGCAAAGTAGCGGGCTCAGAGATGTACAAAATGTTATGGAGTAACCAAAAAATATTGCCAACTGCAAAGAAGAACTTGCAAGTAGTGTTGCTAGTACAGGCTTTTTTTTTTTTTTTTCACTTGAGCTCAAGTATTCAAATTATTTTAATTACGGGTGGATTGTTCAGACATTGAGTTCCACCCTGTTCGGGAAATATTTGTTCGAACTGCAAGGTGTTTATTAGGCAACTATTGAACGGAGCTTTTAGAATACTTTACGCGCCACTTATTCCATGATGCGGTGCCAAAATAACCCGTTTTTAAATTGATCCCTTTTCGGTCTGTCCAAATTTTATAAAAGGCCGATGCCAATAAGCTTCAAAATGCCTTAATATCTTAAATTTAGGGAAAAGAAAAAAAAAAAATCTTATTCACAGTATATCAGGTTTGTCACATTGACTTGCCATTACTATCCCGCTACTGATGGGATAAATTGTGGCTCCTGTCTTTGATTACAGTAGGCCAATGTTACAGTGAATGTTGTTATTCAGTCTTCGACAGTCACAAGATGTCATGTTTAATGGCGTGTCTATGGTTTTAAACTGTATGAAAGAAATCTAGTGTTTGAAACAGGAGACAGCATTGAGTGCTGTTTGCAGAGGACTTTGACCCCTAATCCACTTATCCATACTGTACGGTGCGCTGAGTTTATTCGCTTGAGACTCGTTCATATTTTCCGTGCTACTTCACCTTACAGGAGCGCTGGAGGTGTCCCGCGCGAGCCCGCTGGCCTGCTGGTTTAGCTCCATGCTGTACTGCTTCGGCGGTGCCGTGCTCTCCGGCATCATGCTGGCCGAACCGCCCGTAGCGCCGCTTTCCAACGGCACCGCCGTCCTGCTCGCCTCTCTCCTCTGGTAAACTAACACAAACAACAATCAGGTCACAAATACACACAACGTGAGAATAAACGCATATCCTTTCATAAATTGAGGCCCACGGAAAAAAATTCAAATGGCACCAGAGGCACGACATACATGTTAACAACGCTTACTGAATTGCAGCTGTTATAAATGGAGTGGCTTCAGTCTTTCAATTTTGAGGACTGTCTCCCTCTGTTGGTTCGGCCTGGAATTGCACTTAAGATCATGTTTCTGGAAAGTATAGACAATGTCCCAACGTCATTGGAATTGACGTGTGTGTGTGTGTGTGTGTGTGTGTGTGTGTGTGTGTGTGTGTGTGTGTGTGTAAAGGTGAAACAGGTGCAAACAAATTTGAGTTTCAAAATCAACACCGCCCTCGGCTAGAAAAAAACATCTACTCCCACCAGTGCTGATGAGAGTTTCCTTTGGGGGTCCCCACAGGTACCTGGTGTTCTACTGCCCGCTGGACCTGGTGTACGGCTGCGCGGCCCTGCCCCCTTTGCGCTTAGTTCTGTCAGGAATGAAAGAAGTGACACGCACGTGGAAAGTCTTGGGTGGCGTCACGCAGGCGCGCAGCAAATACAAGGACGGACTGCTGGTCATGATCGCCATCGGCTGGGCTAGAGGTACTCGAAAAAGTCATCGTATAACCATCAGTTAGGATTAATCACTGTGAAGTGGCATGAAACATTTTATAATACGAGGGATAATCAATCACATGGAACCGCACCTGACTTTTGTGTCCAATAGGAGCCGGAGGCGGTCTGATCAGAAACTTTGAGCAGCTCGTCCGCGGCGTGTGGAAACCAGAAACCAACGAGCTTCTCAAGATGACTTAGTGAGTGTCTTGGAAAACTCTTTTCAGTTTTTGTGGAGTGCAAACAAGTGTCGGTTCATCATAGGATACGCTTTTGGCTGAATTTCCACAATGGACTACTTGAGGAAAATTGACCATTACAGTGGACCCCATACTCTCAATTCACACATTTGCAGATTTTTATTTCAATATTAAAAAAAAAAAAAAAAAAAAAAAAAAATGTTTGTTTTGGGGAAAACACGTTGAACAAAGTAATGCTGCCCTCTGGCGTTGTAACAGTGCGTATGCAGCGCCACAAACTATCCAATGCTGATGTTAGGTAAGCTTCTTTAGGCAGAAACCTAGTTGGGAGTCAATCAAAATTACCTCTGCCATCTAACGCACTTCCGTTTTGTCGTGATTGCTGTAAAACGCGCTTAATCCACAGTCAACCAAATTCTTAAAAGATCTATTGTGTGTGTTTGTGCGCACATTAAAGCCCCACCAAGGTGACGCTGATTGGAGCGGTGCTGTTCGCTCTGCAGCAGACTCATTACCTGCCTCTCCACACACACCACCTGATGCTCATCTACACCACATTCACTGTGGTCAACAAGGTCAGTCACGACGAGCGATTTAATGATTTCTAAAGGTCACTCTTTGGGTTTATCACCGCGTTCATCTCACGGGACGGTCATTATTTTCGATATCGCGGGAAAGCTTACGGTATTGCAGGAAGGTTGATGGCACAGCAGGAGAAGAGAAAGACAAATCTTTTTCTTGCTGCCTGCGTCCTTCTCGATATGCTTTGGTAGTTTCTGTGTTTTCCCTCTGGTTTTGGTGAAAAAGACATCCTAAATTCACATCCGATCACGCACTTCTGTCCCCTTCCGATTCATTGTTTACACCTCCAAAACGCTCGTATTGCCGCAGCAATAATCGTGCTTGACTCACAGTAGCAAAACTGCCCATTGAGAAATTGTCTGTTCACTAATTTGTTCATAGTATTTGTCATATTTTTCATTCAAAACACTAGTAGTTGGAGACTGCATAATTTGCAGTCTCCAACTACTAATGTTTTGAATCAATGCAGTCTCCAACTTTAAACAGCTTTAAAATAAAAGCCAAACAAGGCATTCCTGTACACAGACAAGAATTTTGCATGTACTGTGGCTGAGTGGAACCCCCGAAAAAAAAAAAAAAAATGCCATGCTGGACCATATATGGCCTACGGACTGTAGGTTCCCGTCCCATGCTTCTTGGGGACAAAATGATTGGAACACCAAATAGCAGTGGTCGTGTTCCCTATAACCTTTGTAACCGTATTCGCTTCATCTGGCGTTTTTGGCTCTGTGTTACCCTAAGGGCGGCGGCTTTTGCATCATTTTCATAGCCTTGCGTCATCCGACCCTTGTCTGACAAACCCGACAGCGCCTTTCACCTCTGATCCATCACAAATGTTCAACGAGGCGTTGCATCAGATTCAATCTCCTTTCAGTCCTGCTGTTTATTTTATTTATTTATTTATTTATTTATTTCACTTCATATTAACGCTGGTCCCAATTACGTTTCACTAATGAGAAGCAAATATGACGCGTTATTACATACATTGTACATTCCATGAACTTTTGGGCCAGTCGCCAGGGGACCTACAAGTTATTTACGTCACGCCTAAATCATCTCATCTTTAAAAAATTTGATTTCTTCACTTATATTAAGCGGCTCAGCGGTTTACCGTGTTATGTATCGTCCAGACGAGGATGATGCTGACGGGTTCGGCAACATCGCCCTTCGCCCCTATCGAATCGGTGCTCCACAAGACGCTTTTCACTGGCTTCCGCTCGTACGCCGCCCTTACTGCGCCATCGACGAATAACCCCAATGGGGTCAGCGGGCGCCTCCAAACCAAAGACAAGTCAGTGAAGAAAAGCGACTGATGAAGCCTCTGCCGTTGAGCCGTCATCACGCGTTGGTGAACGCGGTTGCCTTGGGGAAATGTCTTTCTTCAGCGAACTCCAATCAAGTCTGCGCCTCATTTTGGAGGTGCCGTACTGTGATGTTCACGACCCATTGCACACTTGCGCGAAAATGTGTCTTAATTTGAAATATATATATATATTCATTATATTGGGAAATTAAGCTTTATCTCTTGGTTTTGGGATCAATGCTGAGCACCCGAATGGCTTTTCTCTGTGTCAATATTCTGCCGTTTCCTGCAAATGTTATTTTTGCTGCACTAATCAGGAATGATCTTTTTCTGTTTTTGTTATATGCTGATTATATTCTATATTGTCATCACCTTTATTTAAAAATATGATCATTGCACTTTTGAAAATGATGGAAAGCTTTTTGATGAACGAATTGTAAGTGAATATGTCAAATTAAATTACATTTAAATGAAAACGATTGATTGATTGATTGATTGTCAAGATTAAGCAACATTTACATGTGAAAACTGTATCTTAAAGCTCTTTGGCCTCACAAAGTTTTTTCAAAAGTCTGGTTTTATTACTTATGCATTATTAATGCATTCAAACATGTAAATATAATCATGACTAGCAAGCATGTGCACATTTTTAAATGGTGACTTCTACAACATTGCTGCGAATTTACAACATCCCATCCCTGTCGGAAGTATATTTAGAGGAGTCCTGCGGAGCATGCAATCGTGATGCCCACGTGTGAACACTATAGAATCAAGTATTGCATCAGTGTAGCATCAGCACCTGGCGCAGTGGGATCCCTGCGTTGAATCCAAATGAAGAAACGAGGAAGACAAGCAAAGATGATGAAACGCTCGAAATTATCCACCTGCCGTACATTTCAAACAACACGTGTCGTTATGAGACGGTAGCACATGGAGGCAAAGTTTGATGACTCATCACAGGAAGTCTAGCGTTTTGGTTTTGAAGCGATCATTTTGGCAACTTGTGTGTAGATCCTCGATGTACGTTGTTGCTCCGTTTGTGTGAAAGTAGCAGTTCTTTCAAAGTTTATCAACACCATAGCACCTGATGCTATTTTCTTTCGCCCCTCTATGACATTTGACATTATGTTAGCATTAAGCGAGAGTGGACTTTAGTTGAACAAGATTATACGTTTTAGTTGAGCATTTTGTTGTCTTTATCACAGATTTTCATCCAACACTGGGGGCTCGGGAACGTATCCACCGCGATAAACGGGGGTTCCAACTTATTACACTATGCAGTGCAGGAGATGACCACTAGGTGTCATCAGGGTGCACTGATGCCAATTGATGCCTGGGAACTGACAGGCTGGCAAGCAGCTGCAGGCCAGGAGTGTTGGGATTGGGGTTTGGGAGGGTCGGGGGGGGGGGGGCACTGCTTTGGGAAGCCAATGGTAGCTGCACGCTTGTGTACGTGTGCACGCGCTGGCTTTCTGTGCTCGAGGGGACAAATTGATAAATCTCTGGCCTTGCGACAACATTTGGACATGAGAAGCAAATAGCATATGTGGAACAATCATCCAGGCTTCAACGCTGTGGATGTTTTTTGGTGTGGTGTTTACAAGTTTAAAGCAGATTTTTTTTTTTTTCAGACCCATATTGGGGGCTGGGGGGGGTGCGACAAAGGAGAGCCATCAAAGAGGACACAAAGCTGCGATGTGCTTTTTGTTGTCCAATGCGACCTCATTCACACCTAAAGCGTCATGATTGCTTCCTTTCTATCTTTTTAGTATTCTTCGGCCAAATAACATCATTGTATCCTGTACGTTCAGGGTTTTAGCTTTTTCCCAAAACCTTACCGAAATTGCAATACCCCTTCTGTATTTTTACAAGTACTACTGTTCATTTCTCGTGAAGATCAAGACAGTATTTCATGTACTTTTTTCATATTACAGCCCCCAACGGGAGTTTGGCGAAGCTGAAGTATCATGAGTAGACTCCCAAAATATTCTCAAGAAGCCCTACCCAGAAACATTCAGGAAGTCTTATTTTCCTTTGAAGGCGAGACTTTGGGGCAGAGGTGCCCAAGTCCAGTCCTCGAGAGTCCCAATGCAGCCTGCTTTAGATGCATCCCCAGTGCAACCTTCCAAATTCAAGTCATCATGTCATTGTCTGGCTTTTGCAAAGCTTGCCGATGAGCTGATCACATCCAAACGCACTGTAAAGCTTGCACAGAGTCGGCGTGCTACTTTTGTTTTCTTTCACGCAAAGACTTTTGCACTTCTGACGATCAAAGCTTGTCTTAATCCAGCATATTCTTTTTTTTTTTTTTTTTTCGGTGGTGATGCAATCGATGTCATCATTACTTCAAGTGGGAGATAAAAGGCGAGATTGGGACCACACAGGAAAAGTGTCTGGCAGGCAGGAAGAGGGCAAAAAGGAGGGGAAGAAGAAAACAAAGGAGGACGAGAGGAAAATGTGATGGCCAGGGTGCATGTACTTAGGACATTGAGTAGACCATTCGGTGTCGGACAACTTTAAATTCGATGCTGCCGCTGAACGGTAGCCAGTGCAAAGTCTTTCGAACTGGACGAATATGTTCGGGATCGCTGTGTCCCCTGATCTAATACACTCCGATTACCATTTGCAGAAAAATGGCACAGCCTTCCAAGCAGTGGAGCTTCTTGAACGTTCTACCTTCCCAACAAGGTATACTCGGTGTTCTTTTGTTCACATCAGTATGGCCAGTGGTTGGTACATGATGTGCTTCGTCTCACTCTCCCTCCCCTTCCTCCGTCCCCCACCTCCTCTTCTTCTTCTGCTTTCTTCCTCCACCGAGGAGACAGATGGTGTTTTTGCGTTTCATAGAGAGCCCACTAACTAGATATTCTGAGGCGAGAGGGTCCACGTGTGTGGGTAAATGTGACCTTGCGGACGGGGAGGACCGAAAAGCGTTTTTTTTTCCCCCCCCCTCCCCATTTTGTCTCGTTTTCAATCCCTGCAACCTTCCATCAATCTGCTTCATTTGATTCCAATGAGCCACTTCGTCTTTCCCTTCCTTTGGTCCACCTTTTCCATCCCACTCCTGTATGCAAAGCGGGTGTCAGCTGGGACAAGAAGGCAGTGACTTCCTCACAAAGGAGGCGACAGGGGTCATGGAAGGGGTTGTGTTAACACACACACACACACACACAGGAAGGATGGGAGATTCAGTGGGGGGGTAAGGAGTGCAAGGAGCTGTCCATCATTAGTATTCCAGCAGGAGGCTCCTGGCCAGGCCCAGACATCTGAGCGGAGCAGCCGCCGCCGCAGATAAAGAAGAAGCCATTAATCCACGGAAGATTACTAGCACTGATACTTTATCCCGCCGTAATACAGCGATGCAACCGCACCGGTCCCGTTTACAATGGCATCAGAGGAGGAAGAGGGAGGGGAGTAGTGCCCGCTCACCTTGTGGATGCAAAGATGGCAGCAGCAGACACAAAGAGCCGGCTCGGATTTTGATTTGGAGGTTTTGGGGGAATTGGTGTGGCAGATGGCTTCGGAAAGCCACGGAACAGCTGGGTGTCCTTCCTGTGACCGAAGATGCAGCAGACTTGCTGTCTTAGTCGCCCATCAATGTCTTCACGGTTTCAGAAAGCCCAAAGCAGTTTTTTTTTTCCTTCCTCCATGAGACGGAGAATTTCCAAATGAGCCTTTCAATGATGATTTCACCTGCATGCAAGATGTCAAAAGTTGCATCAGTCACTCAAATGAACAGTGAGTCAAAAGCTGTTTTCTTCTCAATGCGTGGAATGTCAACGTTGTGCTTCACTCACCCACTATAGTGAAAAGCCAGCCGTAATATTTTCTTCTATATATATATAATTCATTTTTTTTCAGGTTTTTTTTTTCTTTTCAGAACCCCCCCCCCCCAAAATGAACCAAATTCTCATTCGATTATAATTATGAATCACTTCATTTCTGTGGTAGACATGAATGATCTGTGTGTTGCTAATTTTAGCAGAGGTGGCCAGCATCCTGAGGAGATGTTTTAGGCATTTTTGGGGTGGCAAAATATGACTTTGGGCATTATTTTAAGATGCTGATGATATCGCATATAGCGCTATGGAGGGGCTAACTAAAATTAGCATAGATGCTAAATTGGTAATAATAAATCTTCAAACAGTGATACTCATCACACTCGGAGTAGTTAACGCATACAAAGCAGGCCACTGTATTTGAATGTGTTCAAATTGTGACCACTGCCACTGGAGCAGACAGGAAAAAAAAAAACTCCGCGGGAGGTCAATATCACTCGTCAGATGCGGCAGACGAAATGACATTTTGATTGACTAAGTGTTAAAAAGCAGTTGTGGTGGGAATCCATCTGGATGATGAAATGAGGAGAAGGTGCTGTGGATGCGTCCTGCGGCGCTGACAAATAAGGCGAGGGAGGAAATAAATTTAAGGAAAAGCTGCCGAGAAGGACGGGGGGGATGGACGAGGACGAAAGACGGAGGGCAGCTGAGCTCCCGGTGTCTTGGAAGAATCCAGTCCTTCAGATGTGGCAGATTGTGTTGCCATGAGAACAACACCGGGGTCATTGTGAAGCGTGAAAGAGAGAAAGAATCGAGAGGAAGGCCACAAAGCCTTTGCTGATGGACACACTTGAAGGGAAATGCCGGATTTTTTATAGGCAGTGTAAAACACAGTCGGACCTCTGAAGCTGGTAAATCGCCAGGTGACTCCCCCCGTTTAGTGAGGCGCCATTCACACAGAACAGTGACAAGGTAAAAAGGTGAAATAATGCTGGTGCTTACGGGCAATAAAGTGAAAAATAGGCAGAATAATTATAGCTGTCGTCGGCAATATAAAAGCGGTTTAACACACAGGTGCCGTTATGACTCTGCGACTGCCTCCCAAGCCGGGACATTGCCCAGATGAACTTTAAAAAAAGGCATCTGTACTCTCTATTCCTTACTCTGTCAAAATAGGCTCTTTTTTTCTTTCAACCTCTGAAAATGACAACGCGATGTAAATAGAACATGCATGGGTCTTCCCATTTCCTTCCAAATTCTCAAAGTGTGAATAGTCGCTTGCCCCTACGTTCCCTGCGATTGGCCGGCGACCAGTTCGAAAGCCAGCTGGCATAGGCTCCCAGTCACCCGTGGAACTGAAGTGCGATAGAAGATGGAGGGATGGATGGATAGAAAAGGTAAACATTTGATGCCCCTTCATGGCCTTTGCTGAAAACGAAGCGCTCGGTAACGCTATTGAATGCGCAGGATCGGTTGTAAGGCGCCATTGCTTTGGAAATATGAGGTTGTGACAAATCCACCAGTCAGCGCTTTTCCTGATGAATCATTCAACATGGCCGCCGGCGGGGTCCAATAACGGCGATGGAGGTGGAGGACCAAATGAAGG